ACGTAAGTGTCTCTAATCCCCCTCCACACACACACCCCGCTTGCAGGAGATCCACCAGGACCCTCTAGGACGAAGACAGCCTTCCGTGGAGGATATTTGCAACGCAGGGTTGAAACGAGGGAGGGGTCCTTGGTGTTTTTTGAGCTGGGTGGGTTTTCTTGCAGACGTTTCATGAGCAAACTAGGTAACATCGTCAGGGCTGGAAGGGAGCGAGGTTTATGAGGAGGAGGAGGTGGTGGTGGTTGAGCTTCTGGGGTCAATCAAAACCCTGAAGGGGAGAGGAGGAGAAGGAGGAGGACTATGGGGTCCTTAGTGTTCTCTGATCTTGCTCGTTTTCTTGCAGACGTTTCATTACCAAGCTAGGTAACCTCATCAGTGCTGATAGGCTTCCCAACCAGTTAGCCTCTCAGTTCAGTTCCACAGCATGCAGGGACCCCTCGAAGGTTACGCTTTCTGGGGCTGCAGGGAGATTTCAGCCTAGTTGGCCTCGAAGGAAGGAACTTGAACGGAGGCTGCAGCTTGTTGGGTTCCTGAAGGGCCCCAGTGGGTCCTCCTTCCGCTGCCTTCCCGGTTGGCAGAGCTAGAAAAGGGCCTGAGGGGGGCCAGGAGTGGGTGAGACTTGTCTGGCCCAGTTCAGTCCGTCCGGTGCCTGGTCCAGCCAAAGTTGGGAAAGATCCCTTCTTCCGAATTGACTCTTTCACCTCGGGGAGCAACGCCGCAATTTACCTGGGTATAAAAGTGGGAGAACGCGTTCAGTGGAAGGAGAGCACCGTTGGCAGGAGAGCCCTTGGGATGGTCGCAGGAGGGGGGAGGACGGCGCCCTTTTCCTGCCGCTTTCCACTTTTAGCAAAATGTCACAAAGAGGAGTGAACCAGAGTCGGTTGAACGAGCAGAAGAAGTCCAGAGAAACGTGATGGATTTATTTTTCCGTTCATTTATCTAACCCCTGTGGTGCTGTTTCAGAACTTTGCTGTTCGTCAGCCGCCATGTTGAGGGGAGAAAACAAGGATTATGGTTGATTGCAAAATGGAAAGATCTATCTATCTATCTATCTATCTATCTATCTATCTATCTATCTATCTATCTATCTATCTATCTATCTATCTCTCTCTCTCTCTCTCTATGTCCATCTCTCTTCTTTCTATCTATCTATCTATCTATATCTATCTATCTATCTATCTATCTATCTATCTATCTATCTATCTATCTATCTATCTATCTATCTATCT